TAAAGTGATAAAACATCTTTGTAACTGCACAATCGGCTTCACTACTGTATACTTTGAAATATGGATATCGGAGATTTTGTGGATGCATAGGTATAATATTTTATTAGACATGTGTTCAGAATATAGGACATTTAACCCTCGCTTGTCTTGGTTCACTTAGTTTGATGTATATCAAACAGAATAACCACAGGTCACCAAAAACTGCTGGTCTCTTATAAGCGCCTGGTGTTTGGTTGAGGAATAAGATAAAGATTGGTGAAATTTTTTGCTGTATTTGAATCACATACCTGTTTGTTCACTCATAATATTCTCTTCAATATCATATTCAGTTAACTAAACACTACAGTGAAATGGTGCATATGGTAGCAGGGATGTGAATGTGGTATGAACAGTTTTCTAGCAGTTCTGATCTTTCTGTGACTTTCTAGATGCAGCTTGGCCTATTGTGCAAAAGCAGCTTGTAGGCAATTGGTCATCGGTACAGAAATGTTTTTCTTTAAGAAGCTGGAATGGCTCAAAGTGGCGTGCGTTGGGGTTACTATTTCTGTGTAGGTATTGTTATCAGTTTGAATGCAGTTTTTCCCATTAGTCCCATTGTTAAATATTCAGCCGTATCAGTTGACTGTAACTGTGATATTTTGCTTTGTTTTGCCCATACAGGCTCAGCAAACATGTGAGGAATGCAGTGTGAAGTTCGGGGATTACTACTGTGATGTCTGTCACTTGTTTGACAAGGATAGGAAGCAATACCACTGCCAGCCTTGTGGCATATGCCGGTGAGCTGCTGCTTTGTCTCGTGCGTACTGGAAATATATCCTTTAAGGATGGTTCATGCAGTTATTCTAAATCTTTCCTGAAAGGAGGACAATTTCATAAATACTAAATGCAATTTTGTCTTTAAATGAGTCCTCAAACTAAGGGATTATTACATGTTACTGACTAAATCTTTAGATAGATCCTTGAAAATTATGAAGAAAGCTTACTTTGATCAGACTGATCTGAATTTATCCTCTAAGTATTTGGATCCATTGTGCTGTAATTGTATTTCCACCAGTCCCAGTGTCAATTTGATTTTTAAATTGCGAACTCCCGATAAATGTGAGTTGTCATTTCAGTGTTAATCCTTAGAATTAGGACAGCGTGGACATCCTGGACACAGTGTAGGCAGTTTGGCTTTTAGGGATTTTAAACTGACCTAAAATGAGTTTTTAATTCATTTTATTCATTTTGCCACAGCCAGTCAAAGTGCAGAGATATAGAAAGTTTCAGTCATGAGGATTCCAAGCATCGAAACCTTATTTCAAGTAAAATGCCATTTTTTTTGTTTCAGGATTGGGCCCAGAGAAAGATACTTCCATTGTGTGAAGTGTAATCTATGCTTGGTTAGTGACCTGCAAGGAAATCACAAGGTGCTTTACTGCCAATTATTTCTAATAATTTCTATTTGAATTGTACCTCCATAACATATCAACAGATTATAGTGTTCTGTATAGTAATAGTGTCTCCTGGCACTATATAACAAAAAAGTATGAAGTACCACATATAGGAAGTGTTCTTTATTAATTGAAAGTAATTCTAAATTCTAACTCTAAATTCTTGATTTTAGTGTGTTGAAAACGTCTCAAGACAAAACTGCCCAGTGTGTATGGAGGTAAGATTTAAGAAATCCTGTCTATTGATGGTTAAAACATGTAGGTTAGTGTGTATGTGTAGGTGTATTTTCCTTTGATTGAGCAAAATGTAATTTATTGAAGAGTATAACAGAAGTCTGTGTCGTCATATTATCAGACAAAAAGCTGTTTGCTTTCTATCTGATTACAGTAGTTGAGTTCTAGCTTTTAATTGTACTTCAGAACTTTTGTGACTATTTTCATTGGTTAGATGCCATTTAAGGGGCAACAGATTAAAATTGCATCAGCATTCAAATGAAAATTGAAACAGAAATCACTGTGTAGGCTGTATTACTTTTTAATGCTATATTTCCCTAGTAATGAGACTGGTTTGGTCATTTTGCACCTCTACAGTTTGAAAATGCAGAGGCTACTGGTCCCTTGCCTACCCCACCGCTTGTATTCTGAGCATAGGGCTAATAGATGTAGATAATGGAGGTACAGAGAATGGATGGATGGATGGATATTTAACCTGGAAATGAGTCCATATCATTTGTTATTTGTTTTTTTTTCAACCCAAGGATATTCACACTTCCCGAATAGGAGCTCACGTTCTTCCATGTGGCCACCTTCTTCACAAGTATGTCACTTCTGTGTTCACACAATGTTAGGCTTTGAAATAAAATCCTTCATACAAGAAACTAATCAGTGATAATTTAATAATGTGATAACTAAAATAAAAATCAGTGGAGGTGTTTCTGAGTTCCCTCATTTGTTATTTTATTTTTTTAATATGCATTTGTCCATTTTTAAGAAATGAATACCTCTCAAAGATCATCACTTTTGCTCTGGATTTTGAGCCAGGAGTTGATTATTGTAATTAACATGCTAAACAAAATACAGCTTGGTTATTTTGCATCTTGAATAGTCTATTTAATTTGCTGTTTTATTCATTTTTACAGAACCTGTTTTGATGATATGTGTAAAACTGGGTAAGACACTAATTAAAACATTTTTTTGTGATTCATTGGTGTTAAATGGTTGCTCATGGTTTATTCAGTTTCTGGCAAGATTTTATTTGGGAAAAGAAAAATGTACTAAAAGCCTGGATCCCACTGAATAGGATGATAAAAATCTTCAGTGTAATGGATGCACATGTTTTCTGTGACTGGCCCTCAATGCAGTCTATTCCATATGACCATATATGGAATATAATTTGTTTTAATATTATTATGGCTGTGTGCTGTGCAGTTTGTGATTTGACTCATGGAAATGTTCTAGAAGATTTACAGTAGATTTGTTTACATTCCCCAAATCATTCCATGCCAGGGACATGTCCAAAAAATAACAACCACTTAAAAAATATGGTTTTAATCATTTACACGTGTAAACAGTAACAGATAAATGTTTGAATCCATACTAAATGTGGGTGCCAGCTGTGTGGATAACGGTGCTGAGAAAAGACTCGTGAGATCAGCCTCTGAGTGAAGCGAACTGCCCTTCCTTTGCAGTGCGTACCGCTGCCCCCTCTGCATGCGCTCGGCCTGGAACATGGAGGGCTGCTGGGAAGACATGGATAAGGAGATCTCTCAGACGCCCATGCCGAGTGAATACCAGGACGCCACTGTCAAGGTAGCTTTGTGGCAAGCATCAGCGGTCCTCTTCTGACATCTCGTAAATTTCCACGCAAATCAGATGTTCTCATCTTGTTAACATCATCTTATGCAAACAGTAGAGATTCATATATATATGCAAACAAACCAGGGGATCAGTCACATTGATGTGTGAAAAAATTATGCAGTGACATACAAAAGAAATAAATGCAAACATAAAATTTTCATGTTCTATCTCAATGCAGTCACAGCAAAAACAATGGTGATATCACATGGGCCGGTCTAATGCACAAGAAAACTAATTGCCTGCGTAGGGCCCCCGTGGCCACCAGAGGGCACACAAGAGCACTTGAAATGTCCCACAAGGCGGTGGGGCCCCCAGGGCCCCATAAAGGCTTGTGCCGGTCCTGTACTATCATAATGAAGAGCATTGATGAATATAACCGTTATGTAAAGAGCAGGAGACTATGAACTGGTTTCTTATCAGGAGCTATTTGGTCTTTTTTTTTAATGATGAAGTAGACTAAAATGGTGATTTTGGTGATAACATGTTGGGTCTCATCTGTGCACAGAACATTTTAAATGATGATTTAGACTTAGATGGTCATGTGGTTTGGAGGTGATTTAGGCTTAGATGGTCATGTGGTTTGGAGGTGACGTGTTGGGTCTCATCTGTGCACAGATCATTTTAAATGATGATTTAGACTAAGATGGTCATGTGGTTTAGGTGATATATACACTTAGATGGTCATGTGGTTTGGAGGTGATTTACACTTAGATGGTCATGTGGTTTAGAGGTGATTTACACTTTGATGGTCATGTGGTTTGGAGGTGATTTACACTTTGATGGTCATGTGGTTTGGAGGTGATTTACACTTCGATGGTCATGTGGTTTGGGGTGATTTACACTTAGATGGTCATGTGGTTTGGAGGTGACGTGTTGGGTCTCATCTGTGCACAGATCATTTGTAATGACTGCCAGACACACTGCACGGTGCCCTTCCACGTCCTGGGCATGAAGTGCAGCGGCTGCGGCTCCTACAACACCGCTCAGGACGGCGGACTGAAACCACGGCAGCAGAACCAGCAGTCGCCCCAGTGACCGAGGCAGTGGACACTCTTGTCACGGCATCCCGTCCGCCCTTCCTCACTCACTCCAGTCCTGAAGCCTTGTCTCTGAGTCTCCAGCTTTGTTCAAATGACATTCTGCTTAATCCCAGAGTCTCATGCAGCTCTGATATAATTTTCCTGGTTGCTGAATGTACATAGTTTGTTAATTCATATGTGGGAGTTTTGATTTGTCAATGTCACTAAGTAAATTGTTGCTTATAATTGTCAATATCATAGTCACCACCTATCAATAAAATGCAACAAACATTTTTTTCAATGTAGAATGTGTTGCCTAAAGGTTTTTTTTTTATCCCTCTGAATTGGTATCTAAAATGATCCGTGAATCTTGTTTGTTTTTTTTTTTTTAATCCGCTTCCATCAGTCACAAGTCATCTAACATTTCACTTTAGCCGATCCAGATGTTGAATTGCTTCCAGTTATTCCGTATATAGGTTATTCTGTTCTTCAACATTCTGTTCTTCAAGTTCTTCAAGACATGCTGTTATTCTGTTCTTCAGTAATTCACTAAAAAGTCTACCTAACAGTCCAGTGCAAGTGCTGAATCCTGAGATAAAGGTATCCTTTCTGGTATCTTTGAAGTGACGAGTGGCAATGCATGCCTGTTTACAGGCTTAAGCAACTGTGCAATGGCTACTTTGCAAGATCAGCCTGTAGTCAAGCGGTTAAGATACATGCCTGCGACCTATGAGGTTGGTGGTTCAAGCCCAGTCCCCCAACAGCACGAACACAATTACTGCAAGGCCCTTAACCCCTTGGCTAGTATAATCAACTGTAAGTTGCTTTGGAGACTAAGCTAAATGCCTGTAATGGATGAGTGGGACAGGACCTTCAGTCATTGAATGCAAAGGTACCTGTATAAGAATGCCAACGTAATTATGGAACATTAAAACAGGATTCACTGTCCATGTAGATGGAGTTTTACTCCAGTACACTTCTTCACTGCATAGGCAGAATTTATTTATGCTTATCTGAAAATATCTGCACATTTTTGTTTACCCTGCAAGAGGATTTATGTTCAACCATAGGTTAGTCTTTACATACACTAGTGGCTTTTAATTTATCATAATTTTTCCACTCTAAAAACTCAGGAATGTCATGAATATATTGATATTTCATGTGTAATGACATCCAATCCTTGAAATTACAAGTGTTTCAGAATGCATTTTTTTTTGTGAATTTGCATAAAACCATGCCTATAGTATGATTTAATCCATGTGATTTCCTGGTGTTTGAGATGATCCCTTTTGATGATTAGGTTTATTTACATTAACTCCAGTGTATTTTGTACAAAAGTAGCATTTATATAGAAAAATGTTGTTTCTATATCAGGTATAAACGGAATCACAATGTTATTTAAGAAGAGTTTTCTTGGACCAAACACTTCTTATTCCATGTGTTACTGTGTAGTACATGTTACATTTTGTAGAAAAGACAAATGTGAATAAATGTTATATGCGGTGGTGGTACTTTTTATTAGTCTCTCAGTACAAATATTAAAACTATTGATAATACTCAACTGTAAATCAATTATTTTACTGTCATCCACACCATATCAGTACATTTGCACTGAAGCATCCTCTGAAAATGCAGGAAATCAGTTATGATATGCAACTAGATGCTCTAATATTGAAGAAAAACTTGATTATTTGGCACCATCCAGTTGTCATATTTTGCATAGCTGTATGAAAGATAGCATGCTAAAATTGAGGTAATCTGTGCTCTGCAAAGTCAGGCAATTGTGACAGTGGTCTTCGCTACCATTGTTGCAGTACATTAAGTGCTGTCTTGGTCTGGGTTACAGCTAGGATCAGGCCCTGAAAGAGAAATCTATATCACAGTAATGATCTGGATGTATTATAGGGCTTAGCTGAGTGCAGTGTGAGTCAAAATTGAGCCAGATGTCAAAAATGTTGGAGTAAAAATAGAATAATTTTGTGGTGCCATAAAAAATCTCATCACCTGAAAACTGAATTTTAATGTTCTGGTCAAAATTTATTAAAGTTTAAATGTTGGTTAAATTGTGTTAAAGAAATATGTATACATGCTGTTTAAAAAACCCTGTGGTACAATATTTACAGGCAGATTACACATAGCCTCCATGAAGTCCAGAGATATTTATAGCATTTTTATTTCTTGCAAAACATTGTACAGAAATGAATAACTGTATAATTCAGCTGGATAACATGGTAAAATAAAATGTGATCAGCTATTTATATATTATAAATATAAATAAGTATGTGCGTTTTGTTAAATCAAGTTCAATCTCAAAATAATCGTTTAAAAATCATATAAACGAAGTACGAGAAAAAAATTGTCATAACAAGGTAAAATGCACATGTTAGAATACTGTAATATAGTAAAACCATGCTACCAAATAAATCCAATAGTTTGCTGGTTATTAGTTATAAGTTGTCCCCTCTAGCCTCTATAACTTGTGGGGTACTAGCAGTATCTGGTATAACACACTGAGAGATGCCACCATTGGCAGTGACAGGCACTTCTGGTTGAATTGTTTTCCCATTGGCTGGTGCACCCTTTGTCTCCGCAATGACTGGTGGCATTGCTGTCAAGGCAACAGAGGGGTTAGCTGTCTCATCTATCATTTGCTGTGGAGTAGTGTCAGCAATGAAAGGCGGGACTGATGTCACAATGACAGATGGTGGAGGAGCCGTCTCCGCAATGATTGGCCGAAGTGTAGTTTCAGGGATGACTGGCAGTGCTGTATCTGGAACTACTGGCGGGGTTATCAAATCTGCGACAACTGGTGGAGATGTCGTTTCTTGTGCAGCAATCTCTTCTGAGGAGGAGTCATTGGATTCGATGGATTCGGGTGAATCCAGGCTTTTGTCAACCATTTTCATGAAGTGATACTCATACCAGCTGACCTGTTGACCATAAATCAATGACACTTACAAAACTAACAAGAACAGAATGATATTCTATTTTATTACTTTGTGTCCGGTTGTCATGCATAGGGAATACAATGAAAATAAAATGGTAGCTGTTCCCCTTATCTATTGTTTGCAAAGTGGAAAACATTCATAAACAGTCTTACTGGTTTTGAAGATGTTGTCACAATAAGGAGAATAAATAGTGTGGTCCTCAAAATCGCCATCTCTTGTATCTTACTTTCTGTAAGATATCAAAATGATGTACATAATGTCAAAGCTATGCTTTCATGCTTTCAAAAAACAATTGTACATTATCATTTTCAAATGAAAAATATTCACAACAAGATACACCTAACACATTCTGGTATTCAAAACAATTTCAGTCTGAATCAGCTGTACGTTGGTTCTCATTTTACAATACATTTCATTAAGAATAGCATTGAAAGAATATATTGATGGTATTACCTTTTGTTGACAGTGTATCCTTTTTCTCTTGCAAACAACTGAGTGTTTTAATTCCACTGAAAATGTGGAAACTTGAGAGCCAGCGTTCTAAAGTTCCAAACCTCAGCAAAACAATTAACTGGTGTCTGGAGAATCTTGTGAATGTTTATATGAAGGCGTTCGGGCCGGATGTTGCTTCTTGTTTTGGAGTGCACTGCTCAGCATCAAATCAATTTTTTCCATAATAAATTGACTGACTTCCCACTTGTGGGAAACCTTAGTTTTGGCCCTTATTATGATTGAACAATTATGCCCCCCACATCAAAAGCAGAAACTTAAATGAAATATTGCAGGAGGTAAATCAATCCATCAACAATCTATTGTGTCAAAACAGGAATTCGCTAATTACAGAACAAGTGCTCTGAAGGAAACCGTTGGTTAAATGGACTGAGAGGCTGGAAACATGCTGTACGTACGTGTAAAATTGTTTAAATGGAAATGGAATGTTCTGATCACAATACAATTAATTTTTAAAAAATGTGTTCTTTAAAGGTTTACAGACTATATACAATTTCAATAACAAACAAATGAATATCACTGAAGAAGATGTAAAAATACCAATAAAAACTCATAATTATTTTCAGTGTTGTAAACACACTACTTTTTTCTGGGGACACATTGACCACATAATGAGTGACTATTGCACAACTCTTGATGCTGAAGAATATGACTGATGCATCTGTTTCTCAGTTCCAAGAACTACCCCTGACCAGTGTAGTTATTATATGCGGACTAAGAATATGAACATCATAATTCACTGTAAACCAGAAAACCTTGAAAACAAAGGCCATTTCCTGATATGCATTTTTTAACATTAAACTAGACTCCTGTAAATATAAGATCCACGTTAACTCATACAGTTCGGGTAAAGCATTTCTGCCATTTTACATGAGCGGAAATACAACAAATCTATGGAAAACTGTCGCGCTACCTGTTCCGTGTCAGATTTCAACATCATTTTATGATCTGTATTTAAATACATTCCATAAATATTTCATCAACTCTAAATGTGCATGTACCACTTAACAGGTGGTTGATGATTATTTGATACAGTTTGAGACAATTCACTAAGTATTTGATTATGTGTTCCATTCCGCTAACTACACACTGCCTTTAACTATAAGAGATAAAAAGAAAACCCTGTAAAATACATCACTTAGAGTTAACGAACTATTTTTTAGATACGTTTGATTCAGTTTGTAAGTGTATTCCAATGGAGTCTTCCATAAGACTCTGCATAAAATCGTAGCATGTGCATTTATAATTAATATTTGAGAATACATTTAATCATGCCACACAGTGATGGTATATTGAGTAATGTATATAAAGTAACAGACAGATTTGGCTTGGCATTTACCCTGGGCCAGCAATGTCACTTCCAATCCTCCTTCACATGCTCCCTTCAGTTCTTCCGAGGATGCACAAAATCATCTCGGATGTGGGTTTACTCTAAAACCATGAAAAAAATGAAAATGAAATCCTTTTCCTTTCCCTGTCTTCAGATCAGGCAGGGAGTGAAAGGGAGAGCAGGATACAGAACAAGGCATGTCAAATTGTTCAGGGCAGGGATCTCCAGACATGGTGGGGCCCATCCAGGAAAAGGATGTGGGATAACTATTGACTAGTTTGGGGGGGTGTGGATCCAGTGGTCACGACTGATTTTATACAGAAAAAAAAATGGTTTAAGGTTCTGCAAGGGCAGAACCTGCAGAACGGTCTTCTATGAAATATGTCACATGGCTTGAAGCTTGCTGTAACAAACAGGGCTTCAGGTTTATGGGACACTGATTCTTCGGACTGGGTGGGGCCTATATACAAGTAGGATCAGTGACCTCCTGAAATAAGGGGGTACTTCTGCATTGGACCAGCATATTTTGGGAGCAGCAGAGAAATGTTTGACTACAGTACAGGCACTGGCTGTTGCGTAATTATAAGAATTAAGGGTACTCATAACAGCAGTAAGGCGACAATGTAATTCTGTACTTTTTGTGAGTGTTTTACTGTAGTCTGGAATTGGGGCCGGGGACAAATCTTAAACTTCAAGGTAGTGATGGGAGAATGAAGTCTTCCTTATGCCACCAATGGGCGGAGCTATGACATCTTACTAGCACCTGACTGAATTCAACCAATCATTGTGTTTTGCTTTTGAGAGCAATGGGGTGGGTGTAGATAATGGATGGGTGGAATTTGCAGTGAACATCAGAGGCGATAGAGGCATGTTCCATTATTCCACACAAATATGAGAATAATAAAATATGTCCTCTGCTTGGATATTTTTCACTGATAACTTTATATATTCAACAATATATAACATATATTG